CTTCTCTACTGGACGTAAAAGGAATAGAAGCGTCAGTACACACTTAGTAACTTTACCGTCAGACTTGTCAGCTGATATGCGAATTCAGTGAGATCTCACGATCAAGCTGTCAAGTATCTGCCATGCCAGGGCGGCGCAGAACTAGGGGCATTTTCACGAGTGTGATGGACCTGTACGTCGATGGCTGCTCTGTAACAATTATTTCTCCAGGTTGACAAATATATGTAGACCTACTGTACAAGATTCGAGTGTATTAACATGCGAATAGGTACGACCAGGCTTGATGCCTGTCGTCTGCCCCGTAACCCACGAACCTCCGACCAATCGTACACGAGCAATTGGTGCTTCACTTCACGATCATTACGATTACCGTACAAAGCTACACTACCTTGATACACAGCTATGAGTCCAATAAACATGCTCGATCGCGACTCTTCAATGTTCAAATCAAAAGAATGTCAGCGTTGCTGCTAACAGACCAAGCGCTAGCGACAACGTCGTAGAAACAGTGCCATGCACAGCTCGCCCAGAGTTTGCCGGCGTGTCCGTGTCCGTGTTACTGAACGGCATAGCGGTGGCCTGTGGCACGCCACCGACGCCCGTCGTCAAGGCGACGTATGTACCGGATGGCGCGGGATCGGACGTGGCTGGAACAGCACGGATTAGAAATAGCCGCGGACAACGAGGACAGCCAAGACACACCGGTTAGAGGGGCATGGGCAGCCTCGGCGGCCGAGATGGCCTCTTTCAGCTGCTCGCCGCCATCGCTGGGGACGGTAGAAAGCAGACCGATCCGCGGCGGATCTTGGGACGGATTCGTGAGGTTGCCATAGTAGAAGGCGGCGAGGACGCTATGGGTGTGCAGATCAGATCTCCAATATGTTGTGAACACGGAGTAGCGGGCTCACGACTTCAAGAACGGATCGCCCAAGCTCCAGCTGTACAGGAACCCGTCCGTGCTGGGCGGATCAGTGACGGCGAGGTTCGCGGTGCACGCAGGTTCGTCGGAGTCTGAGGTGGTCTGGCGGATGAAGTCCCGCGGGTCGACAGTGAAGGGCTTGCCGCCAATCAGGAACGTCAAGTTGTGCGGATCTGAGCAGTCAAAGGACTCGCCGCCGATCGAGCTAAAGATCGATGTGATGACATCCTGAGGTCCGCGGATAAGCGAGTTACCCTGAGACAGTGTCAGTGTTAGGCGGTCAGGCCAGTGAAAGGAAGCGACGAACCGTGTCGACCAGGGCCGAAAGGGTGATCGATGGTGAGGACAGCGCAGAGCGCGCAAGCTTCTCGCCGTCAAAGAAGACGTCATCAACAGCAATCTCCCAGACGAGTGGGTAGACCTAGAAGCTTTTTCAGTTCGCTATGAAAGTAAAATCCACGCTGGGAACCGACCTCGTTTGGCGCAGCAGTGGAGGGAGGTAGACCATGCTCTGCCGGCGTATATGCGCGAAGCGGTACCCATGTCAAGCTGTCCGATTGTATACCAGAAGGTAGTTCACCTATGGACAGCTGTCCAATGTTCCCGCCGATGTCGATTGAGTCGCGCTGGAGCGTCGTTGCAAACATCGGCTGCGCCAGCGCATGCTGGCTGATGAGGCGTGCGAACAGCGGACCCAGTGTGGCAAAGGATTCGATGAACTCTGGAGACGACAACACGGTTGAGTTCTGCCTTTTCGCGTGCGCTTGGGGCGGGACGGGGCTGAGCATGAAGTCGAAGGATGGGAAGGATGGGCGGCGATAATTGAGGTCTGTTAGGACTCGCTTGCTCTTTGCTATAGGCACGCCGTTCATCTGTGCTTGGATTAATTGTCGCCACACCACGCTGCAATAGCCCCAGAGGTCCTTGAGATGCTTCTACGGCGATGCAGGATGCAGACCGACCTGATCGCGGGGAACCCAAGTCCCAGAATTCCGGCAGAACCAGTCTCCAGAACAGTAGTGTTTGTGTTAACGACAGCAGCAAAATATTGGTCTTGCAAAGATAGTCCAGCGATGCCTGCAGTGTCTTTACCGATAGGCCCAGACGCTTGCGTACCAGTACTAGAGTCGCCATAGAGTAGCTGAACAGTCAGGCCAGATGGTTGGAAGGTAGTCTGTGAATAGAGTGGAACTGTAGAGGTGCAGTTGCCAACGCAGGTGTCCGAGATGACCCAGAGGTCTGCAGAGCCGGTATCTGTTTGAAGTGAGCGTCGTGGGAGGGGAATGCCCGGTGCGCCACGCACCTAGTACCAACGGCGTTTCGACTCCTCCGACTTGCACGAGTACATTATACGTTCTGAGAGCGCATAGATGCAGCTTGGTCAAAAGCAGTCACGGTGATAGCGACACTTACACGTCCAGGAAGTCGCCTAAGCCGATGCTCGCATTTCCCGCGCGCTTTTGCAACCCCCCACGCCGGACTTCTTTCCTGATCAGCGGTAGATGTAGGCCTTGGCGAGTACCGCTTCCGAGCGCAAGAACATGAGACAAGAAGAAGAACAGGTTGAGGACCAGAATCCAAAAAGTCATGAGCTGCGTCTTCGAACCGTACGTTGGGGGTATCGTCGGGTATCCGGAGGCAAGGAGGAAAATAGAGATGGAAAAGGAGGGCCTGACGGCCTAAACCCGCCAGTGATATGCCAAGATTCTGCTTGGATCTGAGCGTCCGAAGTGGCGGTTGCTCATGAAGTCGTTCCTGCCGAGACGGCCTGACGCTCGGATCCTCGAGCGCGGCATCGCTGCTTGGCCACCTACTACGTATACATCACTGACTGCGGACTTCCCACCAGCCCAAATATCCTAGCTAGCTTTCGCGACAAATCCCAGCTCTTCGAGGGGTGATAGAGAATATTATACAATTTTTGGGCCTCGTTTTCATGCACTGTCTTCAGTTGAGCGCACTAACGGTTTGTCTCCTCTAGATATATTTCCTCGGCGACCAATTACCGGCGGCGGACGCTCTTGAATGCAGCCTTATCGGATTCTGGCTGCTCAGGCCTAAATACCATATAAGACGTGTGATGATGACCATCTTAGCCCATATACTTCTCATGACCGCAGTCGCTCTTCCAGGGCTTCAGGTACTGGTATCCATAGCGAACGCGCGCGCGACGCCGGGCTCTCTTTGACTGCGCACTGTCCAACCTCCATGCCCAGCGAGGTTACCGTCTCCGGTCTGCATAGCGTTTGATTTATTGGCTCCCGGTGTTCATCAGGTCCCAGTGCGATCGCGTTCTGATAGACCCAGCCGAGTTGACAGAGCCGATGTGTAACATGTAATTGCTGTCCCTCACTTGAGCTCATCGCCCTTAAGATCACGTTGGAGGCGCATATCTTCCGCAACGTCTCCATTCGAACGAAGACTGAATTGGGCCCACAGGAAATCCAGCGCGGTCGACGCGATACTTGTAGAGGCGATGCGGCGATGCAGGCTTTGAGGTGTGTTCATTGAGTATACCACGGATGTACAACTTTGTGAGGTGAATGCGAAAATGTGTGCTGAAAAAATGGTTTTACGCCTTCATGAAAGAAGGCAAGTTTTATTTCAGGAGGTTCGGCGGGGGAAATGGGACTTATCGGTTATTAGTTTCTTCGCCGTCTGTGTCCTACTGCGCGGAGCTAATTAATTTATCACACCGTGTTGCGGTATCGCAGATCATTTTTATAGCTGTAATTGAGGAACAAACGCAGTTGACAGCGCCGTTGTGTCACTGTCATGCACCGGACTCGTCTGCATCCTCCAACTAAGCCAGGACGCGGCCTAGTTAGCCAGCTTGTGCTGCGCCTTAATGAGATCAGCAGCTTGTTCTGCGAGGGTGTACACGATAGCTTGTATGTGGCAATTCGGAATAGTCGGCTAGATGTCCCACACCATGAGCCTGCTACTCGAGCCTAACAGTCGGGCGAGAACTACTTACGAACACCTAAGCATCGACATACGAAGTCCCGTGCGCCTTGACGCGTAG